GATTAGACATCATAAGGGGACTACTCTGATGTGGAAGGGGAACTCTAGACTGAGGCTAGCATACTCGGAGAGCCATGTGTTCCATGCGGAAAGATGGAACCAAGCCCCATGACTTCCAACAGCCTATGAAACTGTGGTGTCACTTGCATGTCACATAAAGTTGCCTGAAAACCAAGTGACGAGACAGAGCTTGCTCTGGCCACCAGTGCTTCTTGCGAGAATGAGGATCTGTTCTCATGACTGAAACGAACGGAGAAGCATCTAAGCCCTGGTCAGGCACAGAGCTCGGTCACAGGGGAGGAAGGGCACCGCCTTCCACATTTGGGCAGGGTCTGCCAGGCTAGAGGCCCCCATGTGCACTAGCCTCTAGGGTGTTACATCCCAACAGTAGGAACTGGGCGCACTGGCCTGGGACCCAGCGCCTTGGCCGTAGCGTCAGCCTTTTTCATCTGGGTTCGAATTCCAACTCCTAGGTGAACGTGCTGAATCTCACAAGGGGCCTTGCAGCAGATCTTCAGGTGTGTGTGTTCGTGTGACATCCAAGAGGATTGTTTATGTGGCAAGGGTCCCCCTGGAAACTGGAACCGATGGCCTGGACTCTACCTTCCAACACTAGGTCTAAGCAGACCCTTCTTTGCCTTGGGCACTGACCACACTGTCCCTCCCTGGGCATCTCTGAACTGACTTACTGCTCTTTTGTCACAATCCCTCACTGCCTGTACAGTACCTGGCCCAGGGGGAGAGAGCACGGAGCTGTACTGAGGGGCCCATCAGCCTGTGCTGGGAGACAGAGCCGAAGTCATCTGCCAGTGGCCCCAATGATGATGACACAGCTGTTTGTCACCTGGCTGACAGCGTAGCAGCTGGGAAGCAAGGTCTCCCTACCCCATTCATTCGAACCCCGCCCCAGCCACCTTGGGGGCACCAGGGTCTAAGCATCAGGGAGAGGGAGCTCCAGCATGGCACATGCCAACCTCTGAGAGGCAAAGGCCCACATGCTGGAGAGAAGCCCAAACCAGGGTGACTGCTTGCACCTAAGAGGCCCTGTGTCTAAATTCCAGGGTGCTCAGCGGGTTTCTTACTCTTATACAGGAAACAAAACTCGTCCAAGGGCTCACTTTATCATCTAGTTTGAATCCTTAATTGAAACCCTCTGCTCCCCCCACCCCCCAAAAAACCCCAAACAAACATGCACACAGAAAACAAAGAAAGAGAGCCACCAAGACAAGAAAAGAACTGCAACAAGCAGGCTGGAAAAAAGGAAGCAGAATACTTAGAATCACCGCACTCCACCCATGCACCAAGATTCTGCAAGTAAATTAAGGGACAGAGGGGTACCCCAAGGCGAAGTAGCAATGCAGACCTGGGGAAAAGCCCTTTCTGCAATCCCTCCTCCTACCCCCGCAGTGCTGGAGAGACAGTACAGGGGGTAAGATATCTGCCTTACACGCAGTCAAACTGGTGCCTGTTTGATCCCTGGAACCACATGTGCTCCCCTCTAAGCACTGCCAGGCGCGATCCCTGAGCACCACTGGGTCGGGTGGGGGGGGGGGGCCCAGTTCCAAATTAAAAATATAAAATATTACTCAGACAGTTTGGTCTATCACTGGGCAAAAACTATTGATTTCTGTCTTCCATAGTCTTCTGTAAAGTAGGTGAATCAAGACTGGATGGGAATCAGGTTTGAATGGTAAGAACAGGTAATTCAATCTCGGGGAGTTTATATGAAGTTACAAGGCTAAGCTGATATGAGAAATAAAAGACCAAGAAGTCTTATCAGCTGATGTCCTCCAGCCTCTTTTGGAGGCTGTATCTCACAGAGCTCAGCCAATAGCTTTTATGTCTTAGAAAATAATAATTATGGCAATTTAATAACTCTTCACCCTCACAAAGAAACCCATAACTTAATATACTGGAAGTAACTGTCTCAATGGCTCATGTCAACCCAGGAGGAATTGTTTAAGAAGAGCCAAAGAAAGATTGATGTGAGTAAGTGGATGAATCAGAAAGGAGACGTAAGGTGGAGGGATATCCGGAAATTTTCCGATCAGTAAAATCTATTAGTCTACAGAACAGTGCCCCCAGGGAACCCATGAGAGCTCAACCTTATGAGTCATTTAAAAGCCGAATGGATCTGGCCACTACCGTTAATCCAAAGGGAAAACAATTGCCCAAAGCCGGAAATGGATAGTATGAACTTAATGGGTTGTTGTCCTGTTTGCTATCTTCCATGTGTAACATGTCCAGGTAGTTATTCAGCCTCAATGAGGAACAAAAGAAGGTGGGGAGGGGCTGACCAATGAGGAACTGTGACTATGGAAGGGGAGGATTAAGGTCTCTTCTGCATATTAGGGGGTGAACTGGGGATCATCAGGCAAGACTGACGTTGCAAGAAATGAAAAGCAAAGCGGAGGAAAAGCAACACCCCCTGAAATACCAACAGAAACCGTTTGCCTTATGGGCACCATCTTAAGATGGGGCAGAGCACTTCCCTTGGGGTTGGGGTGAAGATGAGGAAAAGAGGAAAAGAATTTGTTACAAAACCAAAAAAAAAAAAAAAAAAGAACTTGTTGCTAAATCTGATCATCAATTTCACCACTTGCTTTTCATTTCCCTTTATTGCCTCATTTTTTTTTTTTACATCATGGATAAGGTATGTGTCTTTTCAGTAAGCATACCCACTCAAAAACCCAAATGCGACTTCATTTATTTTAAAATGTTCTGTACACAGGGCAAGGTGCCTCTTGGTCTCCTTGTTCAATTTTCCATCACGGCTTCCCTGGGTTTCAGTTCTCTCAGCTGGAAAATGGTGAAAATAAAACCATCTCTATTTACATCTCAGGTTGTCATAAAAACAAAACAAAACAAACAAACAAACAGGCAGGAGAATGGCGGTGCAATCACCTTGACAGCAGAAGGGCCTCAGACACACGCCATGGAACCCGTGCTTGGCGGGCTGCCCATTTCAGTGTGGCTCCCGTGAGAACACTGGGCGGGGAGATGCACTCTGTGGATCACCTGGGGTTCTATACTCCTGAGTAATCGAACGCAAGAGTTGGAATCACTGGCAGTATTAGGATGCTTTACATCTGCTACTTAGTTTACTTCAGCACGAAATCATACAGCTGAGGAAAGAAGGACTTCATGTAAATGGAATCCTCACCACAACACTGGGCCTAGCATGAGTCCAATTTGCTGGTGAGAAAAGCCAAAGTCAGAGCAGAGTGGAGGATGGGGTTGAAGACGAGTCGTTCTGTCCAGCTGGAACGCTCAAGGGCACCAGGTGGCATGTTTAACTTGGCCATGAGTGTGATTCTACACACATATGCCCTGGATCCCATGGGGGGGGGGGGGGGAACGGGGACTCTGTGCAGACCACTCATCACAACCCAGATGGGCAGGATGGAATCAGTGCTCAGACCTCCTTGCAGGTGCCACTTCAGTAATACACCATACCGCCCCGTGGACACTGCCAGTTTGTCCGACAGCAGTGGTGAAACATACACCAGGCCTTGGACCCATTCCTTGCACAGATTATCCCACCTCCACCCCTCCACGGGGCACTGACACCAAGCTCAAAAAATCTACAGGTCAACCGTAAAGTCCCAGGTGTATCAGTTACTACTGACACTGAAGGCTGGAGTTAGTTAGGAACCTACAGGAGGCCATTTTTTTGGACAAATCAAATGTACAAACAGCATAAGCAACACTCCAACCAAAGACCTTTAAAGGAGAATAGACTGGCAGGCTACGAGGAATTCTACAAGTGTCTGCACAAGAGGAGGAAAGAGCCCCGAGTCACTAGGTTTATAACAACAAGACAGGCTTTTAATAAATCTTGACTATATATTTTTTCATGTAACACTGCTCTTATTTTCAGATCCACACTCCCACCAGACCCTTGCAGAACACAAAATCTTTACACAAAGACACGCCATGCCACTCAAATACTAGATTTAGTTGGGCAAGAAGGTCAACTCAAGAAGAGTTTGTGAGCCAAAATAGGTAAAGAAACAAACCTGATAACCTCTCAGTACCTGTACTGCAAACCATAATGCCCAACAGGAGAGAGAGAGAGAGAAAGAAGAGGAGTGTAGAGTGTGGGGTGGCAGGAGGGAAACTGGGGATATTGGTGGTGGGAAATGTACACTGATGGAGGAATGGGTGTTGGAACATGATATCACTGAGACCTTACCACGGTCAGCTTTGTAATTGTGTATCTCACAGTGATTCAAAAAAGTTTGCCAGCCAAAATAGTCAAAGTTTCTGACCATCTCTGTCTCCCATAACAACCTATATCCAACGGTTTAATCAGTTAAATGAGAGACTATGTGAACTAGTAGAATTGATCACTTGCTCCAGGTGTTATCATTATCTTCCTGACTGTATTAATTGGAGAAAAGACACATCCGGTGAACACCGTATTATGTTGGATCTGAGGGATCAAGAGAAAAAGATGGCCATGATCTAATGAAGGAAGGAAAAGGTTCTCCAAGCTCTGGCCTTCCTCGCCTGCCTGACACACAGGGGCCCACCAGCCAGTAGGAATTGGCTCAATGGGAGGGTTTGATTTGCATTTCTTTTTTCTATCTTTTGTTCTTTTAGACCCTGGGCTCCCTGCAGGATCCCTGCTGCTTACAGATCAGAGGCTGGGGCCTTTAACTGGTATCTTTGCTCTAGGCTAGTTTGGAAGATTGAAATGGTGGGTGGGTGGAAGGGTGAACTGCAAGGAACCCTCTGGAGAATTCCGCCCCTACGCCCTGGTGATAACACAGATCTTGTGGAGCAGAGGACAAATCTTCTGAGCAATTGGAGAAAGTCAGACTTGCAGTGAGCTACTTTTTCTCCCTTGTCAGGTATGCAATCACACCGGAGGGGAACGTGGGCTTTTCCGCCCATGACCTGGATGAAGCCGTTTGCTCTAAATGAGGATGGCGCTCTGGGTTTAGAAAGCTTTGTCCCCTCAGGTGAGTTTGGCCAGTGCTGGCTCCCACACTCACCTGCTGCTTGGCATGATTGACACAGCGCATGTACTGGCTGGCCAGAGCAGAGCAGTTGAGGGTCTGCTTGGAGTTCTGGCGGTAGCACTGGAGGATCTGGGCCTGCAGATCGGTACAGATGGGATGAGTCTCAAAGCGCCTGAAAAGAAAAACACAGTCACTAAGACACATGGCAGAGTAAAGATCAAGGCTAAAGAATATATAGAATGCTAAATCAGGACAGGCATGTTTAAAAAGTAGGGGTGGTGGTGGGGAGAGTGTTGGGTAAGTTTCTCTAACCTTTAAAGACCAAAATTATTCCTGTGATACAAATGCAGACAACGAAAGTACTTTCCATAACGTTACTTCGACTAACTGATACCACCATGGGCTTTCCATGAAAAAATGACATAACTACATGTCTCTCCAGGTTCTGGAATGCTGTCCCTGCTACATCCAAACCCAGACTGTGGGGATGGTATAGCACCCTTCAGTCTCGGCAGATCTACCGGAACTTGTGACTGATTCCTCTCTCTCCTGCTCCCACATTTTGTGGATCACAACGTTCAAGAGTGTGTGTTTGCTCTTCTTTCTCTAGACTTAGAGTGATTACGATTGATCCCTAAACACTGATACCCAGGATTCCAAACAATGACCTCCTAACGGGAGTTTAGGGCCTATCTCTGAGCTTGTGCTTCATACTTTTGTGCGTTCCAGAAAAAGGTTCTTCCTGGAGGTTCTCACTCATCAGTCTGTGACCGCTCTTCTTACTGCTTCCCAATAAAATACAAGATCAGCAGGCAGATTCTCTTGGTTCAGGTCTTGGCTTCACTTCCTGAGCCCTGCACATTGCTGCACTGAGACCGAACTACCACCAGGCATTGGGTCTGACATGTCCCGACACATCTTATGTTGCTCACGAGTTTGGGAGTGTTCTGTCCTTACATGGCCACTCGTTCCTACATTACTGGGAAAACACTGACTTCTCTTAATGAACTTTCTGGCATTTACTCCCCTTCCAGAGCTTGCATCCCTTCTGATGGGACCCCCCCCATTGATGCTGTAGTCAATTTTCTACACTTCTTTAATTTTATACTTCATGTCCTGTGAAAACTAGAGCAGAGGTTCCCAAATTTACTGGCCTATGGCCTCCTTTACAGGGGCAGGGTGGTGTGAAAAATCACTCAGTATCCTCCTGGATATCTATCTTCTTCAACAGAGAACAGAGCAAGTTCTCTGATTATACCCAAGCCCAAAACTTGCTCCACTATGGCTTAGTCCAGTGCACCCCTACCTTGGGTAAAAGAAACCTACCTTGGGGGTGGTACTGCCTACTTTGGGAAAGTGCAATTTACTAGAAAACAAATCCCAAGTAGTAAGGACTGTGTCCTATTCGTTGTAACCTCTAAGAGAAGTGACACAACAGATTGTGAATATAAATAAGTGGAGGAAAAAAAAAATGAAATCCCCCCAGACTAAAACTTTGCTAATTATACATACGAATCTCTGATTTTTAGTTACACTGCATTCATTGACTCTGAGGTAGCAAACACAAAAGCTTCCAAAAGCTTATTATATACACTTGAAAAAGGATAAGAAAATAAACCAAAGGAATTACGCAAACAAAAAATAAAATATTTCTGTTAAGCCAGCAGAGGAGCTCGGATTTACGAACTAAACACACAACAGTAAAAAAACAGATGTTATCACTTTTAATTTAGAAATTCATACATTGTTTTCTAAACTAGTTTTCTTTAATACAAATGGCTTTCAGTTGTTCATCAGTTTAAAAAATATTTAAATTTGTTATTTCCATGGTAATCTTGAAGTAGCATTATTTAAATTTAATGGGTTCTACAAAACCCCCAGAGAACATGAGAGGAATATTTTTTATCAATAAGGGAACCCTGGGTGACAATTTGTCTCCTCATTACTGTTATCCAACACACTAAGCTAATATATATTTTGCCAAAAGAAACCTGAAATGCAAACCATTTTACTGGCCCCTCCAGGAATTTACTTCCCACTGTCTTCTAAAAGAAAAGAGACACAGAAGAAGAAAAAAAAATCCACAAATTTTGCATAATGCTGCTCTTACTTTTTCATTTATCACTTTATTGCTTGAACAAATACCTAAAGAACATTTTTTTTTTTATCCAATCCCAAGAGCTATATTCTCTTTAAGATTCTGAAGTTCGGATGTCTGAGAATTCTTCTGGACATAGATTTCCTTAATCCCCTACCATGAACATCGGCATCTAAAAGGAGTCAGCTGTGTTTCTGAGACAAGAAGCACACACTATGAGCCAACCCATTACCTGCAAGACGCACACCTGGGTAAATATTGAATAACAGGCGATTCAGCCCCAGGATGGCTGAGCCTAGTAAATACAGGACTATGTCTTGAACAGTTCTCGGAAAAGTAGGGTCATCCCCTAGCCTGGTGCTGAGAACAATCACCCTTTCAATAGATCTTAGATATTAAAGCGGGGAAAAGAAAGGGGAATGAAGACTGGAACGATCCTTGTCCTTGCCCATTAAAACAGAAAAAATTGTGTTAAAAAAAAAGGCTTCCACATGCTGAGTATCAAACCAAAAATTTTTTACTTCCCTTAAAGAAGAAAGAAAAGACTTGTCACAATGGGATAACTCATTGAGAACTACCGGCGCCTTAGAATGAGGCAAATTACACTGCATATAAGCATTTACCCTGAGTCTAGATATTAGTCATGCAAGTCCATGAGTTATTGATGATTTGAAATGTGTCAAAATATACTTTTATCACCACAAATCAATACTACTTACTTCTAGGGCTCTTGATTTCCTGTCTGGGAATCTGTTCTATGCTTATCCATGAGTGTGTGTGTGAGTATGTGTGTGTGTTTGTGTGGTGGGCAGACACCTTCTGAAATTCTTTTTGTATACACTTTAACCTGTATTGATGATCAGCCGGTAAAGAGGGTGAAAGAGAGGTGGAAATCAACCTAATTGTGCCCCAGTTCCTGGAGCAGACTCGGGCACATTTTTCCTGGATTAATCTGTGAGGGGGAAGCTCTGTGTATTGATCCGCAATGCTTGTTAGTCTGCCCTAATGCACTGTTTTCACTTTGGGAGAAGGCTAAATGAGATTACTGTCTACCATTAGAAGGCCATAAAACACTAGGCGTAGCACCTTCCATTCAGGAAAAGGGTTTGAGACATTTCCAATATGCATTATGGTAAACCCTTTGCACAGCCATTGGGTCGACCATTGATTTTCATTGACTGCTTTCATTCTTGCGGATGGCAAAGAACCACTCTCAGGCAGAAATCACAAAAGGCAGAATTCTCAGGATAACTACAGGAAAATCAAAGCGTCGCTGCAAGAGACATTGAAACAATCTGATGTCTTTGTATGGAGGGAGGATTTGAAAAGAGAAACGCTGAAGGACAGATGGTAAGAGAAAGATGAAACAGAAATCTGGATAAGTAGGAACAATAATGAACAAGTGAGAGAGAACAGTTATCCTAAAAGGAACTGGCGTATACTGGGGATCTAGGGGAGCGGTAGAGGCACATTTCCCCAACATAGACTCAGTAACACCGAGAACATGAGCTCTAAGCTGCAACCCCTGAAATTTTGTAATGTGCCCCTTAAGTTAAGCTGTCAGGGATGGAGTGGGGATGGGGGTGGGGAAGGAATACAGGAACACTGGTGGAAGGAAATTGATACAGGTGGTAGGATTGGTTTGAAACACGACAAGCCTAGAACACAACTACCAATAACTTTGTAAATCACAGTTCTTAATTAAAAAAAAAAAGGAACTGATGGAAGAAGTTGATGCTTAACGAAATACACTGGAAGAGAAGTGACACCATTATTTGAAGTTGCTGCGGATGCTGGAGGGCTCCTGTTACTTGTACCTTTTCCTTTCACCACTTTCCATAACTGTTGACTCTGTTCCCTGCCTCTTCCCTCACCCCACAGCCCTCCCTTTGCCCTTCCCAGTGCTACCTCACAGCCTACAGCACCACCAAGGGCCCTGGGGTGCAGTTCACAGTGCTCCAGGGCAGAACTACACATGCAAAGATTAGAGAAGAAAATCAAAAGCAGCATTCCAGACCTGTTTTCTGTAGCCATTAAATATTGTTAGAGAGAAAAAAAATCCCTCAATACAGAGAAAAGAATGGCCTTGTGATAGATGGTGGTGAATGAAAAGAAGTAAAACGCATAAAATGTGTGGCAGGTGGATGGAAACTAGAGTTTTTTTTTGTGGGGGGGAGGAAGATTTTTGGCCATATCTGATGGTGCTCAGGGGGCCATAAGCGGGGCCTGGGATTGAATCTATGCTTCATAGCTGCGTGCAAGACAAGTGCCCTTATCCCTCTGGCCTGAAAGCCAGATTTTTGATGGTGATCACATCAAAAATGAAGGAGTGTATATATAGATGCTGAGTTGTAATGCTGTACACCTGGAACTTACATAATGTGATAAAACAATAGAACTTCAGTAAAAAGAAAAAAATATACTGCTAGTGTTTAAGAGTTTTTTAATGAATAATTTAATTAAGAAATTTAATGTTTATAAGGCAGCTAAGAAAATATATCCAAGCAGCAAGTAGTAGTAATACTGGGAGATTCAAGAAGCAGAAAATCATAAAGATTCACATTATGGCTGCTCCTAATTCTTCAGTGCTTAATTGGTGAACACAATTTATCTCTTTCCTTGGGATAGCTTCTGATCAGCTGAATTAGTCAAATAAAATTGAAAACGTTTTGGAGAGAATCAAGCTGGAAGCTGAGCAGTCAGAATCCTCCCGTCTTTATACTCTCTAATATGGGGCTGGAGCGATAGATAGTACAGTGGGAAGGGCACTTGCCTTGCATGTGGCTGACCTAGGTTTGATCTCTGCCATCCCATACGGTTCCCGGTGCCCTGGCAGGAGTAAGTCTTGAGCACGATCAAGTGTGGCCCCCAAACCAAAAACTCCCCATACACCCCAGAAATAGTAAAAAAGGGCTCTAATACATCTACGCTCAGAGATCTGACTCAGAGCTAACTCTCTACTTTAATGTCATAGCAGGTTCTTTGATGTGGGCCTGAGCTTCCATTTCGAGAAAACTACCCACCCATCATCTCTTTAGTTCTGCTAATAGAAATGGCAGGGATAATGAGGCAAC